GGAAGATCCTCAAATTACAAAAAAGATGCCTAAGCTATCCTTTACCACTTCGTGTCCTGATGCTGGCTCTCTCTACTCCTTTCCAACTGGCTACTGCTACCCTCTACCTAACACTTCTCTGATCACAAAACCACAGTGGCTCTCCGTTGCCTCCCCATCAAGTGTGCACTCATCAGACAGGCCGTCAAAGCTGCCCATCCACTGTTCTCATCTGACTTCCTATCTCATCTTTTATTACGCAGTAAAAGCCTCCATTGTTCAAGGCCAGCGGGCTCTGTACAATCTCCTGAATATAATCTGCTACTCTCTGCCATCAGGCCTCTACTTGCGCTATTTTTATTGCCTGTAATAACCTCACACTGTATCACCAATCAAAATGCTTATTTCCCTTTAAGAAACTTTGATCATCTGACAGAGTTCCTTCCTGCTTTATTATGTAATGTTAGTTAATGTTCAAGAGGCTAGTGTTCAAAAGGTTGATGTCTACAAGTCCTGTTAGGGGTGACTAATATTAAGTATGAAAAAAACTAAGTAAAAAGACAACGATATATCTGTATCTACATCCACATCTGTCTCTCTTTGCTTGTACATTTCAGAATTCTTCTGAACAGGTATGTAAGGAACAAGAAATACTAAGTATCTCCAGGGGACAGAATTGGATGGCTGGGGGACAGAGGCAATAAGGAAACAGTTCAGTGTAAACTTTTTTGTACTTTTGATTTTTGTACAAGAGGAATGTATAACTTATTCAAAAAATAAACAGGCGTTTTAAATTAAAAATTTAAATAAACCAAGATGCCTGCTAAATCTATTAGAAAATACAACACAATTAAATCTCCTAATGTAAACTTTTTCTAGTTATTTTCAGACATACAGCACAATGAGCCAATCCACCCAGCGTTATTATAGACATTAGCCCATCAAAGGACTTTTAGCCATTAAAGAAAACTGTTTATGATGTCTATTCATGTGTCCCTCTAATAAATGCGTGCTACTCACTGTATACCAGGCACCGTGTTGGGCATTGAGAGTCCCAAAGTGGGCCACCAAGATAAAGTCCCTGTCCTCTCTAATCACATGCATTTTTATATACTGCCTTAAAATTATTTCATAGCCATATCATGAGTGTACATCAAATTCTCTGATCAGATTTAGAATGGTTGGATTTTCTGCCTCAAGGATTCTAGATTATATTTCTCTTAATAAAACCTTAAACTCACTTATCTTATTTCCATTCTCTGCCAAGACATGTGAGCTTTCCACCCTAGACGTGCACTAGAGGCTAGAACAAAAAGGCAGATTTTATCTCAGTATGGGGTTGGGACCCCTCGACCTTCCTACTACCAGAGCCTCACTTTGATCTCCCTTGCTCTGTCTCAGCTTGCTCACTGGTCTCCCCCATCCTGCTCAGCCAGGACTCTGCCACAGTCTTTCCACATCATCAAGCCTTAGACGCCTGTTCCCTCAGGGTTCACTCCAACTGAACCGACCTCTCCTCTCATCTCCTTAAGTCCAAAATCTACCTATTCTTCAGAGTCCATCCCAAGTCCTATCCCCACCTCTCTGATAAAATCTCCATAACCTCTCTACATTCCAGTGCTTGCTCCACATACTTTTGCAAACCAGCTGACTTTTACTCTATGAATGTTACAGAGGCTTATGCCTCATTTTACCAAGTACCCTCCAAGTTCCTTGAGATCAAAGCCTATTGTATCATATTATCTTTTGTGTTCAAACAACATGTGATACAAAGGTGAGTTAATTCATTGAATTAAATTTAGTCTGGGAAAATGAATGACAACTTAGAAGAATTCCTAAGCAAGGGAATACAGAGCTGAGTTCCAGAAAGATAAACCGGTGCCCCTGTGGGCCCTGGAGGCTTTATCATCTGGGCGGTACCTACCTTGTCCTGCATTTCACTCAGGTGGGCCATGAGCTCATCCAACTGAGTGGCTGCTGAGGTTTTAGAAGGTGGTGGTAATTCCTCTGGCTCTCGGACCTCACTACGGAGGGAAAACAACATAAAATGATATTAATAAATCAAAACTCAAATAAATGATAAGCTACACATAAAATACTGGAAAATGTAATTTTAATGATTAATTCCTTAGATGTGAGTGAGTCTAAAATCAGAAACAGAGAGTA